ACGCTCTTATCTTCAAAGTCAAAGTCCTTCATAAACTCCGGATGGAAGTCCGATATTTCGGAGATGAGATCCTTGAATGCATCCGACGTGATGATCTCGTCGCCGGTGTCATCGCCCATGAATTCGGAGAAGCCGGGGAAACCGGTGCCGTTCGCTGCGGCATCTTTCTCTAACGCCGCGGCACATTGTTCAAGATCCACGAACTCATTGTCGGGTTCCTGTTTACATTCGACTAGGTTACCAATATCAACGCAACCGATTCCACCGCTACCACCGGCACCACCGGCGCCGCCACCAGCACCGGGCCCACCAGGACCTCCGGGACCGTTGCCGTTTCCAGGCTGCGGTCTCGACGCGGCTGACGCAGACGTGTCAGAACCGGGTTTTGGCGACGATGACGCATTTAAAAGATCGCTTTTCACCGACGCATTCGTCAGTGCTTTTACCGTTACGTTCGTAGAGATTGCTTGGGCTTGTGAATTATTCGCGGCCGAAGTTGTAAACTCCAATTGCTGTACGATCTGAACTTGAAACTTGGTGAGACCTTCGTTCCCGTCACCACCACCATTGCCACCACCACCACCGGGCGTTGGACCCGTCGAGTTCGCGCCATTCCCCGGTTGATGCTGACCATGGCCGTGATGGGGCCCGCCGCCGCCACCACCGCCAGGACCCTGTTGATGCTGATGAGGCCCTTGCGTGCATTGTAGCTTAACCGGCGGCTCGCCGAAGCCGCCATCGCCACTAGTACCACCGGCTGGCTCCAACTCCTCGGTCGTCCTCTTGAGGAATTTCGGCTGCTGAAACGAGAAGAGGGACGGATCCATTAATCGGATGGATTTTCGAAAAACAGAAAGGAAACAAGAAACGACATAAGATTAGAAATCTGCCAGCGATAAAAATATTCAAAAGTTATCCTCGATGTGTCATTACCTCTCAATCCTTACTTATAATTCCTAATTTTATTATTTTATTTATTACACAGCTTTAGCCACCTATAATAGTATTGACCACCTTTCGATCAAGCTCGAGTCGAAGTAAATTTTTAAAGACTACCGCTTTTTCCGCTGCTCTGTTGCTCGATCACCGAACCAAGCGAGATATTTAACTCGTCGCTTGGTGTCGCTGAGCTCCACAGCTTTTTCTGCGATTAACCCGGGCAGTTTCTCACCGTACCTGTCAATACTCGCGACGCTTTTTCAGCCGCTGTCTTTATACGGCCGGGTAGCGCCGTTTTGTTTCGCGGAGTACCGGATACCCTGGCTTGTAAATCTCGACGAGCGAATCGTCTACCGAATCAAAAAGACCGATGACACATGATTCAATGACCGCGATGAACCCAAATAGTCATTATCGAGTGCACATTATTAAGTCTTTCATTTATACAATATTACCGTATTACATCTCAACCTCGATCTCAACAATATCTATTTTACATTTAAAATTCATCGTATTTTGTCAATAATGGATGAAAACAATTTTCATAACTGATGATTATAGGGAACATGATTAATTCTTAAACGTTTCACTATGGAAACAACACAATACTAACCTAATTCGATTACTTACAACCTTCATAAAAATAAATATATCGTAAAAAAAACTCGTCTTAATAAGAATTCAGAACATTAAAGGATATAAGTTCTAAATAAATGTATCTTTATATATAAAAAAATTGGACAACAAGCATAAAAGGCATTTAGAGTTTATTATTTTAAAATAATTCTTAATCATGTGTATAATCATAAGATTAATTAAAACTAATTTTAATAAGATTAGTTTTCTCTGCTGAAACATAATCAATTTCGATTCATATAATAGTTTATAATTAAACAATAAACATAAATATTTTTCGCAAAGTTATATATACCTACGTAGCTATATATATAATCTGCCAAATTTTGCGAAAAATAATATCTTTGCGAAAAAAAAATATATAACCTATATATATACCTATAATCTGGATAAATCTCGACTATACACAGTGGCAACATCGTAATTGATTCCTCTAACAAAGTATCTCCAATAATCGAAATACGGCAGAAACTCGAGGCAATTATCGCCGGATTTCAAAGACGAATCCGCTTAGGAACCACGAGATACCTCTCACCGGCGAGGATTTTTGCGAGATCTCCAAGTCGACGACCCTGTTTTCGGCCAGGCAAACAAATTCACAGCAGTGGCGCCGGAAGGAGGAAGAGAAGGGGGGGACAAGAGATTGGAAAAAGTTTTTCCAGGGTGCGGTCGCGAGAAACGCTTTCACCGATGCGTATACACATACATACACGTACATACGCACGAGGCACGCGGTTGCGCGCGTGTCGGTGTGTATCTATACATTTGTCATGATTTGAACCGGGATAACCCTCCCGGTTTCATCCCAAAATCGATAATACGTATTACCCTCTAATAGAGAATCGAGCGCTCTACGCGAGTTTCCCCCTGCTGTTCTCCTCCTCGCCTTCCCGTTCCATCTGGCCCAAGAGCTCGAATAATCTTGCGTCTTCCACAGATGTAATACGATATTCCGTCAGCCTTCTCTACCCGCAACAGCATCCTCCCGCCAATCGCAGGATCGACGTACCCGCCGTCGCCGTCGTAAAGGTAAATGACGTTTCTTCAAGGACCCTGGTAACCCCGACCCTGGTTTGCTCCCCTTTTACATTTCGCGAAATGAAGTACATTATAGTAGTATAGATCTAAAAAGAAATAAACTCTCCCCATCGCAATCGTCATTGATGGTCCCAACGAAATGTAAGACTCTTTTTTCAGTGCGGTAGAAGAATCTCGCAGAGAGAATCTCGTATACGCTGTGAGAGCGCCGTATCGTGGATTATGATCATTTTTGCGTTGTGCTTAAAAATTTATTCAAGTGCTCGTAGAAATTATTGATCCAAAGAGTACTTCTCATTTCAATCCAAGAATGGTCATCTAGGATGATTTTTATAAACTCTACAGTAGCGAGAAAATGAAACTCAGTCATACTAGTTTTCTTGATTGATCAAGAGTTTAAATCAATTTTTTTTATTTATCCTTTTTTTTTTAAATCGTAAAATAAATTGTAACTTTGGCTCAAATTTGATAATGCCTCTGAGATAGTGCTGTCTTGTGTCTTCATTTTGGACATACATGCATGTTGTTCAGGCATTTCTTTAAATGTGGGTCAAAGTTCACAGTACTTCATTTTACGGCAAGTCCATAACATAATTTCAAGTATTAATAAATTATTAAGCTCAATAGTATAAAAATATTACATGCTGCATGTAAGACTGTACTGTAAGATAAGTTCCCATTTTCGATTTCAGCACAAGTACCGTCATACCGAACATTAATCCTTTGCGCCTAATCGTACAACGTTATATGAGAGTACACAGAGGACTCAGTGTAGATTGCAAGTCGCAATGGCGAAGGAAAAAGACTTCGACGGATAAAGCTTTCGCGAGGCAATTTTATAAAGGTATGTGTCGGAGATTGGCGGATAACGACATGGCTTGCACCCCGGCGTCAATATTGCACTCGCTCTTTCCTCCACCATTTCGTTGTGGCTTTGAAGCAAAAAATAAGTAAATGAAAACAAGAAATACTTTAAACTGCGTTTTCCACGTCCTTTCTGTCGAACTAATTACTTCCTCTGAGTCGCCGCTATTTGCAGTCGCGTGAAAATACGAGACTCTTTCTTCCTTCTGATCCGAGACTGATCGAAAGTACACGTTTCATCAGCGAATTAAAACACCATCTATGTCAAAATGCACATTAATGATAATGATAAACAGTACGTTGCTATTCGCGGATGTATAAAGTGGCAAAATCGCGTGAATTTTATGTAGAACGTACGCTGGACATTTTTTACTGCGATGCAAGGAAAGTGAACCATCGATTGCAAAAGAAATTTGTTCATCGATGTACTTAGCGCCGCTATTGATGAAGATATAATCTATGAAACGAAGACACATTTTTTTTTCATCGGATAAAAGAAAGTTTAATGTCCATTTCCATGTTAATGTTTCCATTCAATGTTAATTTTAATCTCAATTTACTCTATCTTATTCGAATCTCTTATAAAACAGAAAAAAGATAAAAGTAAGTCAAACCGAGATTAAAGTTAATTTACATTAGTGAGAAAGAAGACATTTGTGAATGTGTAACTTAAATACATCTGTAACCTCGACACGTATCACTCAGCGTAATATTATGCTTCGTTACTCGGTGTATGTTTGTTGATCGACTTAACCTTCATCATCAAGTACGACATAATGTGCGTCTTATCTAGTGGTTCAATAATCTTATCTGAGCTTGCGCAGAATTAATCGTGTGAGATAAATCGAGCGTCCCTCGCAATTTTGTAAAATCAATATCTGTCCTCAAATAATAACAACAACGTTTCGACACCACAATGATTGTATACGACGCTTTATTTATATTCCTTCATCCGATTCGTTACCCATCGACGAATTCGCGCGCGATTAGAAATTAATACGCAATGACAGGAATCAGGAAAGGCGAGTGAATTGCCGAGGGAGAAAATCAACTGCTTCGGGATGAAAGCACCCACGTGCGGCGTTGCTTGCATCGCGATGTGTGTGTTTCGAGGCAAACTGATTTCATCCACCCAATCCTTTATCACCTCCCAGCGAAATCGGCTAACGACCAGACCGCATCGCTTGAATGTTAGCTGGCCGAGTTATGCCACTTCGTCCGGAAGCAATAATCCACAGTATGCGCAAATTTGTGCGCGCGCGAAGAGCGAATGTTGCTCGGATACAGAGAACCGTGTACTTGTGCCGTTAGGACTAAACTACCGTATCGTCATCGAGCGGTTTACTTCGCCGCGCCGTAATCCACCGCACGCTGCTCGTTAAACCCGTCGAGTGCAATGCGATCGTACGATGAAACCCGATTTTTCGGGCGATACGTCGGCGATAATCGACTGCGCAGCTTCAAATTCGAGAGACAAAGGCCTCAGGAGGCTACGACATCCCGTCACGTTCATGATTCCGTTCATGTGCGTCATGTTTGCTTAACATCGTGGGAATGTGGTTACGAATGAATCTGTGGAAAGGGATATCTACTTGGATATCTCATTAATTCTTACTCGTAAATTGTTCCCCGTTAGTCTAATAATAATAAAATTCATGCGCGGAAAGAATGATTTTACTTTCTAAATTTACGTACGCTGGAAAGTCTGGCATTAGTAAAAATTCTGGTTAAAAATGAATAAATCAGAATTTTCTAGTTAAATCTGTTATAATTCTTATAGTTGAGAAAACCAGAATTCTGATCGATTTTTAAGTAGAAATTTTTCCGAGTATAAGAATCTCAAACGTGATGAGCAGTGTTGCGAAAAACTTTAAATTTTTTTGCAGCATCGTTTGTCACTTCTGAAATCCTTACAGAAAAAAATTTCTAGTTGAAAATGGACGAACCACTAAAGATTCTGCTCATATCAATCATTCTATCTCAACTAGAATAATAATAGGTTCAAATAAAAAATTCCTATTTATCCTTTTTCAACCAGAATTCTTATTAATCAGTGAGACTCTTTTTCCAGTATATATAATTATTTTAATAATTACAAACACAATTAATTTTATATCTGTATATTTCTATATCTAGTCAAATCTGTAGACACTTCAGCAAAATCGTTCTTTCGAGTAGCCGTGTATGTACTCTCGTTGTGCTCCTTGAAAAATTTTCTTCCGAGAGATCGGTGATCACATTACGAGTCGCACAACAGCCATAATCAACTTAGGGTGCGCGAAGGCCGTCTTAATTCATGAAACTGACGTTCACATTGTCCAAA